GTTAATCAGTATACTGGAGCTGGTAATTAAAAAAGGCATGTTCTCTTCATAATTACTACTATTGTAGCTTTGACAAACTGTTTGTTCGGTACAAGGCATGAATTTAGTCTTTTCTAAATACCACTTTCCCCAAGTTATTGTGAAAAATTTGGACCTTCTGAAGAGTTGGGAGCAGAGTGTGGCAAGTGCCTCCCTTTAACTTAGACCACTAGTTGTGAACGGTGTGCACATTTGCTTTCTCTTTAATGTGTATGCATTCTGGGTTTTTTCTTCAGTTGTTACCCGTGCCCAGATGATTCCTAACCAGTAACATTTCCATGTTTCAGACCTTTTACTATAAAATGCAAAACGTTACATGCGTTCCATATCCAAATTTCCTCAGTTGTCTTTAAAACTTTTTAAAAAATATTTATTTATTACAATATTACAATTACAATATTACAATATACAATTACAATCTTTCTGCGTGTATGCCTGAAGGCCAGAAGAGGGCACCAGACCTCATTACAGATGGTTGTGAGCCACCATGTGGCTGCTGGGAATTGAACTCAGGACCTTTGGAAGAGCAGGCAATGCTCTTAACCGCCGAGCCATCTCTCCAGCCCCCAAAACTTTTTTTAAAAAAGACCCTAAGATCAAATTAGGAACCACAGGAAGTTAGGTGCGAGTTCTAGGACACAGAAAACTGTCTTGAAAAAGAGAGAGAGAGAAAGAGAATCACATGGTACATGTATCTTCCTCATCTAATCACACCTTGCCTCTCCCCTTTTGCTAAGAGGAGAAGTTGACAGGTTTTGGCTGTTTGGAAAGAGCATCTGTTCTTGTCTTTTGATTAGATTCATGTTGAATATTTTCCACCAGAATCAGCTTCACAGGTGATATTATGCCGGTGGCGTATCTCAACAGTGTGGCCTGTGATCATTTAGTGAGATGAAGGTCATTTCCCATTGGAGTAAGTAATTGGTGGGGTGATACTTTCAGACTGAATATCTGTGTCCAGGGAAACCTTTAATCATTTCATGAATCCTTCCAATTAGAATATTTAAAAACTGCATGCCATTTCAATTAAAAATGCTTAAAGGACAACAAACCTGGATATCCGGTCTTTGACGTCATACACCTAATTTTATACCTTAACTCAGTTCAGGCTGGAGAATGGCCCTTGCTCTACAAGCATGACCGCTGCAGTTTGGACCCAGGAACCGCTGCACATAGGTGCCAATAACCCCAGTGCTGTGGGGGCAGAGATAGGAAGGAGGCTTCCCGGGGCTTGCTAGTCTTTCATCATCCTAGTTCCTGGTGGGAAGAAGTTGGCAGGTAACAAATAGCACTGGACTCCCGATGCCCTCCTGTGGCTTCTGCTTACACAGGCACACACCTACACAGATAGATGCTTACAGTGAATTGTAGTGAGTCATTTGCTCCAGGCCCTGTGTGACAAAAGTATGGTGGGCAGGGTTAGGCTCCCATGATCCAGTGAGCCTACTTCCTTGCTTCCCTCCCGGAAGTCACTTCTTAATTCATTGCTTCTTCTGACCCATGCTTGTTACTTCTGAGTGTATGTTCACAGGCATTAAGTAGTATTACTTTGCAGAGTAAAATGCAGTTATCTGTTTTGGCACATTATGAAACAACTATATAAATTGCTTTTCATGCAGCATGCTTTCTGATAGTTTTGCATTTTTATAATAGAATGGTTACAGTATCCCGTTGTGCAAACACTCTAATTTCTGCCTTATGCTGTAATGGGATTCGCAGACATTTAGGTCCCAATAGTTTGTGAACTGGAGTGCTGATTATATATACACATCTCCTTGGTGAGACGTATGCCATGTAAGAGGGTTTCTGCACATTATGTAGCCAGAAGTGGAAATCCTGCTTGAGAGGTTAAGAGCCCTGTTTTTGCTAGACATTGCTCTTTTTCTTAGTGTTTCCCCACTATACTCTCACCTGCAGGGTAAGAGGTCTAGTATTTCCACACCTCTGATTGTTACCAATAATGTGTGCGTCTGTGTGAGTGGAGAGCGAAGATTAGTCTTAGATGTCATCCGTTTTGAAACGGAGTCTCACTGGCCCGGAACCCACAGGTTTAGGCTAGGCTGGCTAGCAAACCCCAGAGTTTTCAGTCTATCTTCCCCGCACCGGAACTCGGCCTCATGCTTGTGTGGCAAGCACTTTGCTGACTGAGCCGTCTCCCCAGCCCTAATTGCTGCACTTAAAAAATAAATGAAAAAACCAATCGCTGGTGGATGTAAAGTGGTGTCTCGGTTGGTTTGGGTTGTGCATTATTATAGCTATTCTTTCTGCTTGTATGTTTAATTTTTCCCCCTTTGTTGGATGTATTAGGGTTTCTATTGCTGCGATGAAACACCATGACAAAAGGCAAGTTGGGTAGGAAATGGTTTAGTTGACTTATATTTCCATATCATTTTTCATCATCGAAGGAAGTTAGGACAGGAACTCAAGCAGGAGGCAGGAGCTGATGCATAGGCCATGGAGGGGCGCTGCTTACTGACTGATTGCTCAGCTTGGCTTGCTCAACCTGCTTTCTTATAGAACTCAGGACCACCAGCCCAGGAGTGGCACTGCCCACAATGGGCTGGGCTGAGCCCTTCCTATTGATCACTGATTAAGAAAATTCCTTACTCCTGAATCTTATGAAAGCATTTTCTCAATCAAGATTCCCCCCTCTCTGATGACTAGCTTGTGTCAATTTGACATAGAACTAGCCAGTACAACTGAACCCTTGTCAACCTGACACACAAACATATCGCTTTTCAGTTAGAACTTTTCCTTTTTCATTTAGCCCCAGGATGGACTGTTAATATTAATACTATAATATAAAATATAAATAGCTTTAATGTCCAATAGTCCTTACAATTTTAATTACATTAAAAAGTTTAGTCTCTTTAAAATATCCAATCTCTCCTTTCTCTCTCCCTTTGTCTCTCCATGTAGCCTTAGCTGTCCTGGAGCTCAATCTGTAGAGAAGACTGGCCTCGAACTTGGAGATCCACCTGCCTCTGACTCCTGAGTGCTGGGATTGAAGGCATACGCCACCACACCCAGCTTAGAATAATCCAATCTCTTTAAAAATCCAAAATCTCTTTTAAAAGTTCAAAGTCTCTCAATTCCTGTGGCCTCCTATAAAAATCAAAATTAATCCCCCAGATTCAAGGCTGGGCAAAGCATCCCAGCATGATGTTCCCAAAAGCCATCTCAAGCGCCAGGGACAGGTCCTGATCCCACTGCTAGGAGCTCCACAAACAGACCAAGCTACACAACTGTCACCCACATGGCTTGGTCCCATGCAAGTCCCCTAGATGTCGGTCCAGAGACTGTGAACTCCCTCAAGCTCAGATTGATCCTGGTATATTTTTTATTTTTTAAATTTTATTTGTTTATTTACTTATTTATTTACTTTTGGTTTTTGAGATAGAGTTTCTCTCTATAGCTCTGGCTGTCCTGGAACTCACACTGTAGACCAGGCTGGCCTCAAACTCACAGCCTACCTCTGCCTCCTGAGTGCTGGGATTAGAGGCATGCACCACCAAGCCCAGCTGATGCTGGTCTATTTTCAATCACTGCTAACTTCTCAGCTCCAGTTAACTAGCATCAATTGTCCCAGTAAAGGAAAGGTTTCACTTCAATGGTGCTGTCTTGTTAATCATGGATAATTTTCAGTCTCTACTGACCAGAACCACAGCATCTTAATTCAAAATAACAAACAGCCCCGATAGAATCTTTAAACTTCCCTCTGAAACTTCACAAGCCAGGCCTCCATTGTCTGTATTGCCCTCAACATTCTTATCTTCCAAGCCATACAGAACTGAGCACTGAAGACTCAATGACTTTTCTTGCACAAAGTTCCCAAGTCCTTCCACAATTCTCAAAACTCATACTCGGTCTGTCACAGCAATACCCCATTATCCTGGTACCAACTTGTCTTACTTAGGCTTCTATTGCTGTGATAAAACACCATGACAAAAAGGGACATTGGGAAGAAAAGATTTATATGGCTTATACTTCCACACAACTGTTCATCATCTAAGGAAGTCAGTGCAGGAACTCAAACAGGGCAGGAACCTGTAGTCAGGAGCTGATGCAGAGACTATGAAGGAATACTGCTTACTACACACTCCTCATGGTTTGCTCAATCTGCTTTCTTATAGAACCCAGGACCACCAGCTCTGGGATGGCACCACCCACAGTGGGCTGGGTTCTCCTCCATCAGTTGCTTATTAAGAAAATGCCCTATAGCTGCATTTTTTTTTTCTTTCAAGACAGTTTCTCTGTGTTGTCCTGGCTGACCTGGAACTCATGCTGTAGACCAGGCTGGCCTCGAACTCACAGAGATCCACCTGCTCTGCCTTTGGAGTGCTGGTAGACCCAGCTACAGATTTGTTTTTCTGTTACTTGAAAGCAGAGTTTCACTTAGGCAGATGAAATTGAATTTGAAGACTGAGGGCAGTGCAAAGAGTGCTCTCCTTGTGACTGTGTACGAAGGAGGCAACCAGCAGTAAGACAGGGCCAGATGCAAGCTCCACTTAGGCCTTTAGTGAACTTCAGATAGATTAGGCAGTTGCTGGTGGCTGCCAACAATCACTACTTCGATCCAGCTGTGCCAGACTTCGAAGATCTCTCTCCGTCCTCTATCATGGGTCTGAGGACTGTGCTGACTTAGGCTTTTGAAAAATGGGCCCTTTCCCCCCTCTCAGTCTGAGAGTCCACTGTGGGGGCGACTAGCGTGATTCTTTGCAAAGAGTCAGCTGCTCACCTGGCATGGGACCTGCCACCTCACCCTCATCCTGGTTGAGTAGGCCAGGAAGCCCCAAGTCGGACTGTGTTATCACAATTGCCAGCGTAATTAAAAGAACTTAAATTCCCGGGCCTCAGCTTTACAGAGGCCTTGGTTCTAAGACTAAGCTTGTACTGCTTCCCGCGATGACTGTCAGGGGGCGCTGCAGCACCGCAAGTCGTTTCCGGGCATGGAGAGGGTGGGGCGGGGCGTAAACCGGAACCTGACGGCGGGTTCCGCCCTCGCGCTGGGGAGGAGTCCGGGAGCAAACTGAAGCCCCTTTCACACCCTTCTCGCCCTCCCTACCGACAACATGCTCCAGTTCCTGGTGAGTGGAGCCTCCGAGGATGGGTCGCCTCATTCTCTCGGGGTCCCGGGTCGGCGGTGCACGGCTCTGAACTTGGGGCTCGAGCCGGTGTTCGCCCCCTCGGGGTAGCTCGCGCGGCTCTTCTCCTGCCTTCTCCCAAGTCTTTTGATCCTTTGCGTGGGTTTCTTTGCCGTCATTCAAGTTCTGAAAACTTTGAGGTGTCGGGGAGATTGATAAGTTTTCAAAGCCACTTGCTGTGAGTTTATTGTGTAATCCCAGTTCGTAAAAGTTTGGTCAGAGAGGTCCTTAATGATTTGTCTCCTGCCCCCCTCCCCCCTCCCCCTCCCGACCCCCATCCCATACTCATACTCAGCCTGATAGTTGGCAGTTTTGAAGCCCCAAGAGTGCCTTTCACAAGTCATACGTTAGTCAGCCACCTCACGAGGCTGGAGCGAGAGACTCACGGAGCCCTCTTCAGACCTTAACAGTTTGCACGCTTTGAGGAATGAGACAGATTGACCCACAAGTAGCTCATAATAGAATTCCTCTTTTTGGGGAGGGGAGTGTAAAATGAAAATCAAAAACAAATTATCCCAGTTCTCTGTTTTGAATTAGCACGTTTTCTGGCAAACATCAGGTCTTTCAAAAATTGCCCGTTGAGGATTGCAGGAGAAGTTGCCAGACCAGTTTTCACACGCAAGTTTTCCAACTTGATGTTTCATCCTCTACTTCTAATAAAGCAGATGTCCTCTCTCTTTCCCATGGTCAGTGGCCACCTGGTGCTCGGGGAAGGAGTTGCTCCTAATCCAGTTAGCCCAAACCGGATTGTTGACACAAACTGGCCCACAGACAAGCCTGCGTCTCTCATGCCTCTGGGGGTTTCTCCAGTGTCCTAACTGTGCGCTAGCTTAGGAGCTAGGAGTCCTTAACTGTCGTTCACTTGTTAGGAATCACTTTTAAAAGCAGTATCAGCTGGTGTAAGATGATATGACTTGCCCTTCCACTGCATCTGATGCTCCTTGGTAACTAGGGAGAACATTAATTCAATTTCCACCACATTTTCCGTGCTTTTGCTGAATGGGTGGTGTATTTTGTGCGGGACTAAATTGCTCTGTACTAACGTGGAGTTTTGATTTGAGAATTCAAAACTTTCAACCTTTAAGGAAAGATGTTGAAGCCGACCGTTAGATGCTTAGCACAGGTGTAACTGGGCACCCAATCACTGGTGTTCTCTTGCCCTGGGTCTGTCTCCTCTTCATTGCTTCTGTTGGGGAAAGATGGTGGGCAGAGGTGGAATCCACTTTCATGTTGTAGACTTGGTGAAACACTGTTAACTTCTGCAGGTCTTGGTCTCTACGTTAACCCTTTCATCTAGGAAACACTGGCCATTATGGCCTAATGCTTAAGAGTTTAGATTCCATCACAGGGTTGTGGTGGCGCTGGCCTTTAGTCCCAGCACTCAGAAGGCAGAGTCTGGCTGATCTCTGACTTCAGGGTCAGCCTGGTCTACAGAGTGAGTTCCAGAACAGCCAGGGCTACACAGAGAAACCCTGTCTTGAGGGGGGAAAAAAAGTTTAGACTTAAGAATCACACTTGAATTTGTACCCTATTCTTGTTACTCTTAAGCAGCGGAGGTTGGGCAAATCATTTAAATTTTCGGTGGTTCAGTTTGCTCTTTGTGAGGTTTCAAAAGGAGCCAATACATAAACACTTTAATGATGGCACTTACTAAAGATAGAGATACTGCCCCCTCTTGTGTCAGGTATCAGAAATGGGAATTAGGAGAGGGTTGGGTGGGAAGGAATGATCCCAGTCTCAGTTTGTGACCCGCCGCGGCACACTTTGTAACCCTCTGAAATGTGTCCTCGGTTGTTGCCTAGGGGGCTATCGAAAAACTTGTGTATATGATTGTGTTCGGGTTAAAATGGGCACTCATCGGGGCTGGAGAGATGGCTCAGTGGTTAAGAGCACTGACTGCTCTTCCAGAGGTCCTGAGTTCAATTCCCAGCAACCACATGGTGGCTCACAACCATCTGTAATGAGATCTGGTGCCCTCTTCTGGCACACAAGCATACATGGACGGAATGTTGTATATATAATAAATAAATAAATCTTTTTAAAAAAAAATGGGCACTCATCATCCCTCTTTCCACACTTCATCCACACCTTGCCCTCAGCTTGGCTGAGTTATCTCAGGGAACACTTAGATGGGCAGTCTACTGCAAGCCCTGCGGCGGCGGCTCACGGCACCTGTGGTCCTGCTACAGTGTCTGTCCCTCGTACCGGTTCTCGGCACCTGCTACAGTGTCTGGCCCTCTTACCTCGTGAGCCCCCAGCAGCCATTCACTCACATCTTCCTCACCTGTGTCCTTTCAGCTTTGGGGCCTGTGTACTGTACTGCTTGGGCTCTGTCGTGTTAAAACTCAGAATTGCAGAGCGAGGGCGACTGGCCACTGTTCGGAGAGTGGACTTATCTGGGTGCAGCAGATGGGCCACTCCCTGCCTCTCTAATCTTTCCTGTTTCTCCTGGCTGCCTCCCTCTGCTCTTGGTTGCTGTGGATGGCTCAAGCCTGGGCCTTGAGCCACTGTGCTCTCTCCATTACCCTTAGGGAATGCATTTTTTATGGAGCTGTCACCATTCAAGTCTTCACTGACAGCTTCCTTGACAACCTTGAGGCCTTTTCTGTGTGTTCCAGATCCTTCTGTCAACTGTCAGCTTCTCTTCTTCACCTTTCTCTCAGACCCTACTCATCTGGATTGACTGTTCCTTCCTGTGTTCCCAATCCTGTCCCCACATTTAACTCCCACGTTTGAAACATTGACATAATCTTTGATTTTTTTCTTTTATTTATTTTAGTCATTAAAACTGTTTCATTGTTGGTGTCATATGCTTGGCGTGTATAGTCACTTGTTTACGTAATCTTTTCTTAAAATCATGTGATATAGTAGATGTATCTTCCTTATAGTAAATTTCTTTCTTAAATCACATCTGTCTGTCTATCTGTCTCTGCATATGTCTTCATCTGTCTCTGCACATGTCTCTACTGTGGGGCATGCACATGAAGAGGTCAGAGGGCAGCTTTTAGGAATTGCTTCTTCTTCCCCATATGGGTTCTGGGGATTGAACTCAGGTTGCCAGGCTTGGTGGCAAGGGCGTTTTACCTGTGGAGCCATTTTCCAGGCCAGACCTGCTGTGTAATCTTGCCCAGGATCTTTCACTGCTCCGTGCTTCAGTTTTCCCAGCGTAGATCTGGGCAATAATAGTTTTATAAGGTTGTAAGAGTTAATGAAAGAGGCAGGCGCTTCCTCTCACGTAGGCCGTAAGGTCTGCGTGCTGATCAGCGAAGCTTGCGTCCTTCAGCTGGCTGCTGTGGACTTCAGGTTGTGAGCTAGACGGACCCTCCAGCCTGACCGACATGCTGCTGCTTATCCTCCCTCACTGCTAAGGGATTTAGTGTGGGAACATATAATACTTAGTGACTAAGACAGCTACAGTCAGTTCTTCATATTGCTGGGCCCATCTGTGGATGGGAAATACTGGAAATAATTGCGTATGTATTGCGTGTGTACCATTTTTCCTTGACATTCTTAAGCAGTACAGTGGGGTGGACTGTCTGTGGCCTTACATGGCAGTAGGCTCTGAGTAGTCTAGAGGGTTAGGGTGTCAGGGGCATGGGTGGGGGTTTCTGTGCAGTTGAATAACTAACTTGAACAGCTACAGATGTTAGTGTGTGGGGTGCCTTGGAATGGGTTCCCTCATTAATTTTAGGTCTTCCCTTTTCACTTCATTATTACTTTTGGTTATAAGATAGTTAAATAGTTGCACCAGCTTCTTTGAGAGCCGGGAGACCAGTACACCCTTCCCAGAGGATTTTCATGAGCCCCCGATGAATGTTGGCACACTTAAGGAGTTAATGATTTTTCTAATTTTGTTTTTATTTCTTCATTTATAATCTAAGCAGTATTACTGAATATAAAGCACAACTTACCTCTTTTGATTTTCCAAGACAGGGTTTCTCTGTTCTGGAGCTCCCTCTGTAGACCAGACTGGCTTCCGACTCACAGAGATCCGCCTGCCTCTGCCTCCTGAATGCTGGAACTAAAGACATGTGCCACCGCACCCAGCCATAGCTCACCTCTTAAGGAAATGCTTTTCTAGGAAGCACAGAAGGGTTTTAGTTTTTATCCCTAGCAGGCTTTTGTTCGGATGCATAGAATATGGATATTTTCACTGCTTGAAGAAGCCGCTAAACTTCTTGTGATAGTCTTCACATCAAGTTAGAACAGTAAGACACAGAAATGGTGGCGTGGGTCCATGCCTCCTTGGAAGGCCTTCTCATGTCTTCTTTTGAGTCCTGTTAACAGGACTGGAGAGACACCTTGGCTGGAGAGCACTGGCTGCTCTTCCAAAGGGTGTGTGTTTGATTTGCTGCACACACAGTGGTTCTCAACATCACTAACTCTAATTCGAGGGGATGCTTGTCCTCTTTTGGCTTCTGTGGGCACCGCCCGAAAGTGGTGTACATTATAAATGTAGGCAGAACACCCATTCAGATAAAAATAAATAACCTTTAAATACTGTTATCAACTTAGCTTTTTATTCTAGTCAGTTAACGTCTAGTTTTGAGATATAGATGTTTTCACCGTAGACCAAATATTTTTAGGCTTCCTTTTCAATGATAGCGTGTAGCTATATTTGCATAATATTTTTTGTTTGTTTTTTGAGACAGGGTTTCTCTGTAGCTTTGGAGCCTGTCCTGGAGCTAGCTCTTGTAGACCAGGCTGGCCTCGAACTCACAGAGATGTGCCTGTCTATGCCTCCCGAGTGCTGGGATTAAAGGTGTGCGCCACCACCGCCCAGACACTTAATATTTTTTTTAAAGATTTTTATTATTGTAAGTGTGTGTGTTTGTTTTGTGTGTGCGTGTGTGTGTAGAGGTGTTAGATTCCCTGGTGAGTTATAGGCAGTTGTGAGCTGCCCGATGTGCTAGGAACTGAACTCTCATCCTCTGCAAGAATAG